GGGCCTGTTCCCATCACACCTGTGCTATACAGGACTCTAGAGATGACAGGACGTGGTACTGTTCCTGTCACACCTGTGCTATATAGGACTCCTGAGGTGACAGGTGGAGGGCCTGTTCTCACCACACCTGTGCTATACGGGACACCTGAGATGACAGGCGGTGGGCCCATCTGTTCCCGTCACACCTGTGCTAATCAGGACTCTGGAGCTTGTGTCACCAGAAGCCCTTGGTCTGTGCCTCATGTTAGAAAGATCTTCCCATGAGCTCAGGGAGCACGTCTGATTCTTGGAATGTCCAGAGATGTCTGACTCCGTCCTGAACACATGAGTGTCATCTCGCTGGTCTCCCTTTCTCGTGGTCTCCGACAGGCCCACAGGGTGGGTGTGTTCTTCTGGGAACCATCTCCACACGGCAGCCATTTAGTGAAGGTGCAGAGCAGGACCCCTCCCCGTATCATGAACAGGGCAACTGTCTGCTGCAGCTGACCCCCTCCCCACAACATCCACAATTCCAACAGCTTGAATTCTCTGCTTTCTCTCCATCATTTCTACACTACAGGTTTCCCTTGGTATCCAAAAGTGGAGCAAAACCTATGAAGCCTTTAGTAAGTGGAAATAGTGTAAAGCAAAGAAGCAACTACCATCCACCTGTTCTGAAGTGCTGCCGAGTGGATCCAACTCACAGAGATTCCAAGGAGCGGCTGGTGGGTTTGAACCCCCGACCTTGTGGTTACCAGTCCAGTGCTTATCCTACAGCACCACACCAGGATTCCATTCACTTATATGGGAATTTTTTTTTAGTATCCCCAGACCCCAAAACCAATCTACCAATCCTCCCAAAGACCTAAATGGCACGAGCATATAGAAAAAGCACGGCAAGCACGCAGCCTACGCAAACCGGACATGACACACGGACAGCACGAGGAGACACCTCTCGGGCTGCTGGGGAGCAGGAGACCTCTCAGGGCTCCCACAACACAAATGCTCAACGCTACTTGCACTTGGTGCTAGTTTTGGTGGGTAAACGTATAAATTCTCTTGGGGATTTTTTGGTTAGCAAAAAATGGCACTAATGTAGGTCTTTCGTAGAAGTCAAGTGTGTAAACAAGTCTGAAAAGCAGAGGGAGACCTGTAAGATGCTCCACCCCTTTCAGTAAAGTAATGGGGGAGGAGGGAGGAAGGAGAGAGCTGAGAGACAGGGAGGGAGGGAGAGGAGGGAGGGTTGGAGAATGAGGGAGGAGAGGAGGGGAGGAAAGAGAGGGAGGGAGGGGTGGAGATGAGGGAAAAGAGGGGGAGGCAGAGCAAGCAGGAGGGGGAGGAGAGCTGCCTGAGTTGGGGTTCTGTGGGCGATGCCCTTTCCCTCTTAGAAGATGTCTTCTCCACTCTAAAGGGCGGGAGGACAAGCAGAAGGGTCTTTCAGGCTGGGACCTCAGAGCATCCCATTCAGGTCCCCACACTGCATGTAAGATTATGTCATGGGCTGGAATACCTCCACATCAATGATGTCATCCAGGGACCCCTGCAGGAGGACGACCTTAATGTCTTGAACTTTGCAATTAAGCAGGATGTTGCGTTTCTCCGATCGTTTATGCTTCAGAGAAGTTTGGATTTTCTCAATGTCTTCTTGCAATTTCCCGACTTCCCTGTAAATACACAGATAGGAAAAGGGGGTTCTATTTGTCTCATTGCGTAAAGTGGCACCCAGGATGACCAGTGGACAGGTGAGCACACCTGAGCACACACACACACTGGTATTTCTCCCCCAGGAGTGTCACGACTTGTACACTTCTCTCTCTGATGCTGTAATGCTCCTGGTCAGGCGTGGGGTCAGTCAGTCTCAGGCAGTTCTCCCCATAACAACAGGGCCGGTCAGCCTGCACAGTGTTCAAGCAACTTTTCCCGTCAAGTAGACGCTTTATATTTTAGAAAACCAAGGAACATAGTCTCTTAGTACAGAGAAATATCTTATCGAGTAACCACAGGCAGTTTCTCTACCACCACCACTACATTAATGGGATGGTTTCTATTTGAAACGAGAGCTTGGGTGTCATCAGTTGAAACAACATGGGATTTTAAAGGGCTTCTAAAAACAGTTTTTAAAAGAGCAAAGAAAATTGAAGGCTTTTAAATATATGAAAAACAGAGAGATGATTCTGCTTAAATTAAACACGAGAGTGCAAACATCAAGAATAAGGAGACTTGAGTTCTACTTAGAAATATCAAAGACCTTTCTAGCTGTGTCTTCAAATGATGAAGGTCTTCAAACAAGTGAAGACAATTGCAAAATGTCCCGAGGTGAACAAAAACAGAGCCCCTTCATCTGCTCACTTACAGCTGGGCCTACCATGAGGGGCAGAGGGCACTAGGTCACATGCTCCACACACTTGTCATGTGGCAGGCACTGTTGAGGCCATCTGGGTAGGAACTCATGCAGAAATTACGACTATTCTACAAGTAAGGCTCTGTCATGACGCCCAGCCCACTCTACTGATGGCTCAGCAGGTGAGCAGCAGAGCTAGGATTTGAAACCCTA